AATCTCCCCAAATAAGATATCGATATCTTTTCCTTATCATTCTTTGGAAACTATTTGTGTCGTACAAAATTTTATTTTGCTGTAATTTTTAATCAATTTTCTGACATAATTTATCATAAATTTTTGTAAAAATCACAAATTACGATAGTTCAACTTTTGTTAAAATTATTTGTCTTACAAACATTATCCAAATTTGATATAAAAAATTTGTAATATTTAAATATTTCAAAATATTTGTAGCATATATATGAACGATTTAAGATCTATTTTAGGATAAATTTATATATCCAAGTGTCTTAATTTAAAATGGGATTACCCCAGTCTTTTCTTTTCCACTACAAATCCCCTAATAAGTTTCAAATGGTATACCACTCATTTCTAATACCAAAAATTTTAAATTAAATTCATGTTAAAATAAATAAAAAATAATACCATTATTAATTTATCCTAGACAGACACTAAGGCTTTGGAACTTTTTTCTAATATCAAAAACTTTTTATAAGGCACAAAACAATGTTCGTAAAATTTTTCAAATTTGTAATTATCTTGTGGATCAAAAGAGAAAGATAGTGGCAATTTATTACTAGACCCAAACTTACCTTTGGGCTCAAAACATAAATATATATATTTTTTTAATATTTCTAAATTTTAACGCAAGAAATTACAAAAAATAATGTCAATAGGAATCTCTCGATGAAATCAAAGGTTTTAAAAAAAATTAATAGTATCAAGAACTTTTAACTAGTTTCATAATAAATTTATTAAAAATATTTATATTTTAACTTTCCTTGTGGAATAAAATGGAATAGCAGTGTGGATTTAATACTATATGAACCTTGCTTAAAACATAAATATATAATTTTATTTTTACATTTGCCGCGGGGGTTAAAAAATATTGCACTAGAAATTTCTTTGAACTTAAATGTTTTAGAACATCTTTATAGTAACAAAAATATTTAACTAGGCTTAAAAAAAATTAAATAATTTATTTATTCTCGCGATAATTTATTTTTTTTCATGGGGTAAAATATAATGGCAGTGCCAATTTATTACTAGAACCAAAGTTTTCGAACATTTTTTAGTATCAAAAAATTTTAACTAAGCTTAAAACATAATTTAAAAAAATTTTCATAATTAATTTTTCCTCGTGGAGTAAAATAAAATGCTAGTGCCAATTTGACCCAGTAGTTTTAAACAACTTTTTACTGTAATAACTAGGCTTAAAACAAAATTTAAAAACAATTTCATAATTTTTTTCCTCGTTGGGTAAAATATAAAGACAGCGCCAATTTATTACTAGACCCAAAAGTTTTAGAACCTCTTTCTAGTATCAAAAACTTTTAACTAAAATCTTAGAGCAAATTTTTTTATAAATTTTCGTATTTTTTTTTCCTCGTAAACTAAAATATAATAACAGTGCTTATTATTAAACCCAAAAGTTGTTTTTTAGTATCATATATTTTAAACTAAGTTTAAGACAAAATTTAAATTTTTTTATAATTTAGTTCTTCATGGAGTAGAATATAGTGGAAGTACCAATTCATTACTAGACCCAAAGGTTTTAGAACATTTTTCTAATATCACAAGCATTTAACTATGTTTATAACAACGTCTTAAAAAAAATTCATATATTTTTTTCCTCGTGGAGTAAAATATAACACAGTGCCAATTTATTACAAGACTCAAAGATTTAAGAACATTTAATAATCGGCTCTTCTAATTCCATAAAAGCTGTTAATGCTTGATGGCTGAGACTCGATCGTTGTGGACAAGTTTGCAATTTCTTTCTCCCTGGACAAGCAGTTTCAGAGATAATTATCATTTGACTAGAAATTTAGATAAATATTACGCTACTAGAAACTTAAAAATAATAGGTAAATATTACGCCAAGGAAAACTTAAAATCGAAATTAATTGATAAAATAACTTAGTAGATGAATGTCATAAATATATGTAATTAAATATATATATGAGATAGGAATAAATATTAACAAATTAATATAAACAATAATATTTTTGAAAAATATAATCCGGCATCTGCATTTTTTGTCTTTGGGAGGGGGGAATTTGCCCCCCTGCCACCCCCCCCCCCTCGCTGCGTACGCGCCTGGTCTAAGAAAATCTTTCTAGTATAAAAAACTTTTATCTAGGCTTAAGATAAACTTTTAAAAAATTTTCACAATTTATTTTTTCCTTGTGGAGTAAAATATAATGGCAGTGGAAATTTATTACTAGACCCAAAGCTTTTAGAACATCTTCCTAATATCATAAACATTTAACTAGGTTTAAAACAACGTCTTTAAAAAATTCCAATTTTTTTCTTTGGAGTAAAATATAACAGCAGTGCCAATTTATTACAAGACCCAAAGGTTCAAGAACATCTTTCTAGTATCAAAAATTTTAACTAGGCTTAAGATAAATTTTTACAAAATTTACACATTTATTTTTTTCTCATGGAGTAAGATATAATGGCGGTGCCAATTTATTACTAGAACCAAAGATTTTTGAGCATCTTTCTAGTTTAATTTTTTATATATTTTGTTGACCCAGCTAGTCGACTAGTAAGCCAACTCAGCAGCAACCCGGGTCGACTCAACAGGCCCAATGGGTCGATTTTCGACCCTGGCTCAGGGTTGGGTTACTTTTTACGATTTCGATACGGGTTATTGGTCGAAAAAAACCAAGCATTTAACAACACTATAGCTGATGTCCCACAAGAATGAAAAGCAATTAGTATTCTCCATAATTTGTTGATGGATATATTAAAATAAGCCTGTATGAGTATGAATCAGAAACTTACCTTATTTTGATGTGTTAATTCCAAAATTTTTATTATTCTTAGAATATGTTAATGAAGTATATATATATATACTTATTGCGTTCAATATGAACAAATATTTGAAACATGTTTGAATATACTTTTTTTAAATTATATTTATTTATGTACTCAATAAAAAATTAAATCCTGCTAGGTGAGGGTTTTGTATAGTTATCATGGAAACAGATTTTGGAATTGGACTTATTAAGAACGAGTCAAATTGGCTTCAAGAAATTATAAAGAGCATTACAGATTGTTCCATCATCAAGATATCAAAAATTCATATCCAAATCAAATTTAGATAGATAATAGATGAGACAATGAATATCAAGGTAAAATAAACGAGGATGTGTGCCCCCTGCTGGCTTTCGTCAGAATCTATGACATGTGGGCTAAATAACGGAGTTTTAATGTTCAGTATGTCTCTCTAGGAATTTTGAATAAAGAGGAAATTTGCGATAAAAACAATTTATAAATTTGTTATTGAAAGTAGAGATCTGCAAGTCTATTTATATAATTACAAATAAAGTCCATGGCTCTTAGTATATGCCTTTTTTTAATATCTGGAATGCCCGCCGTGCCGAGACTTTTAGCGGGCCAAGGTAAAAAATAATTTGGCGGCCCCTTAAAAAAAAATGTACCTAAGCTTTATTAATATTTATTCGCAATGAGAACTAAAGGCATATATATTCTATTAAATTTCAATCATAAATGAATAACGCACATTACAAAAATGAATATAATCATAAACTAAAAGATACAAGACTCTGTGCCATGCAAGATCGTAGGTAATTTTTAATTAATTTGAGCGACAAGCTGGGTTCTGCGGATTCCATGGCAGTTAGAATGGTTAAAATAATCCTTAATAACAATTGATATATAAGGCAAGACATGGAGTTTTTATGGAATGCTTGATTAATATATTCACTAAAAATTTCAAAATTAGTAGATCTTGCAGATTAATATATTACTTACGTATCGTTAATAAAATATTTGATTGACAACATATTTCCTTTAGCTCTCTCTTTCAGGGACATTTATCAATTCTTGTATATTAAATAAGAATACAAAAACTGCTGGAAACGTTCCTCAAACGAATTTCTCGCTTGATCTAATGCATTAAAAATTCAATCTCACATGTTTTTTGCGTATCATGTATAGGCGTGTCATCTACTTCGTAAGGAAAATATTTTTGAACTTTCAGTCTACGTTTCCGATTCCTGTGCACTTTGGCTGAATATAGGGAATTCTGAAGGACGTTTTCCTTAAAGCGATCTTAAATATCTTGCATACTTTCTATAAGTGTATTCTTTTCAATTCAATATTGTCACTTTGTATGACCTTATTTACTAAATTCAAGAGATACCAAAAATGGAAATGTTTTAATTTTTAAAGAAATGACTTCTGTGCAGCAATTGGAGTCATCAGTTTTTTCGGATGAGTCTATTAGAGCATAGTAAATATCACCAACCTGATTTTTAATTGCCTTTACACTCTCATCCTGATAGAGGTAACGGGTTTAGAGTAAAATTATTATGATCTTTCAAAATTTGCCATCGCTAAGTCGAAACAAAAAAAGAATATATATATTCGTTGGACAACGTTAAAAAATGATTTTGGGACTAATGATGTTCGTGCCATATCACCAAGTAGCATATTTAAGCTGTGGCAACAAGGCATAAAAAATGACCTTCGATTTATTTGTTATATACAAACTTGAACCCCCTTATCTCATATTGATTTTTTAAATAAATGATAAAAAAAATGCTTTTACCAACGCTTGGCCAGTACTGGAATCAATTAGAACGCCAATAAATCGTTCATTTATTTTAACGGAGTTGTTAAATTTTACTTATCTTATAACTACGATTAATTATTTCTGGTGACTTATGATTGGTGTGTAGTCTAATATTACGCGAAAAATATATTGGGTTTTTAATAGAATCAACAACTTTTTTCTACGATTTTATCTCCTATCAAGTTTATAATTTCATCTTGAATTCGATTTCCAAGGTAATGATTATGAAAACTTCACTATTCTTAATTCGACGAATGTGGCCGAATAATATTATATCAAATTTTGATAAAAAAAAATAATTTCTTATTTAACGAGGTTTTTTTTTATAAAATATATATTTTCAAAATTAATAAATGGATTTTTTACAAAAAAAGAATAATGCCTTGCTTGTATGTAGTATAAAGAAAAAAAATCCCTTTTTTCAAGAGCTAAAAATAAATGAGTAAAATTACAAAATTTGGCGGCCCCTAAAATTCTCTAATTTCGAAGGCCAGGGTCAGCTGTCCTGCTCGCCCCCCTTCTGCAAGACCCTGGGGATGGCCGACAAAAGTCTATAATTAAAGATAAATTATACATGTGTTAAAAAAAACTAGTTAGATTTTTAAATTATTTACAGTGGAACAAAATTCGTGTAAAAAGGACCCAATAAACCTTCAGTATAAAAAATTAACTGAGTCAAACTAGAGATTATAGATTTAGTCTTCATTTACCCAAATATTTTTGTGATATCTAATTAAAAACATATTATATAAAACGTGACAGGCATAATAATTTATTATAAACTACAAAAGCGCCATATATAATCATCTTTTAATTTTCATCCATAGAGAACCGATGTCCAAGGATGTCACAGTCGATGTAGACTTAATTTGATTCTTATGTTGTTGAGAGGTTAGCCAGACTATTGGAATGAATAAAGTGTTGGAAGGGGAAGAGGTATATAAATCTTTCAATGTCAGGTCCATATCTATTTTAATGGCCATAAAAAAATTTAATCTTTGTATTCAAATTTTTTTTAAAATTCCTGTTTACTTTCGTAATTTTCGGTATTCACTGGGATTCTTAAATTTGTAAAAGTCACATATTTATCTAGTGAGTGTAGCTTTTGATAAGTGAGTAAAGAAATAGGATCGGAAAATTTCAAAAAATTGCTATTCAATCTCTTCGTGGAATCTGAAACGACCGGCGGTTCATCATCGATATTTTGGCTTGATGAGGTGAGGGATAAAATTTGCCCTTATTAATATTATAAGAGAAAAAGATTTTTAAAAAATGATTTTTTTCAAAAATTTAAAACTATGAAAGATTCATTGAAACCTGAGAGGATTAACGTTTTACTGAAAAAAATTTAAACAAAACGCATAGAGTTGGTTAAAAAAGTACATCGCATTTATCTGGTTATATTTGTTAATGAAACTTTAGAAAACAATAAACTATTTAAAATATAGACCATTTAATTTTTAATTTGTGTTGATATTAGGGTTTTAATTCCGCTCAGATCAATTTTTCATGAGAGCGATTCAAAGAAACATGATGGTCTTTGGCAAAAACTGTAAGATAGCAAAATTTTTTTTAGATATGTTGTATTCCATAATAAATCAATAAAAAAACTCGATTCTCAACCCGACCCCTTTCGAATTTTTTAAAAATTTGTATGTTAGTAGTATATATGTTAGCGGCAATGTGAAAATTCCGGCAATGTATACATTGCCGGAATTTTTTCGGCAATGTGAGGTAGTGGTAGGCAATGTAAATGCGAAATACCCCGGCAATGTGAACATTGCCTATGTGTATTTTACAAATTTATTATTTATTTAAGATTAATTTATTATTTATTTAATATTAATTTATTATTTATTTAATATTAATTTATTATTTATTTAATATTAATTTATTTTTTGATATAATATTTTAATTTGTTATATTATCTTTTTAAATATATTTTTTGATTGATATTTTTTTTTAATATATTATAATATATTATAATTTGTTACATATTTTTTTTGATAGATATTTTTTTAATATAATTATTTTTTTATATATTTTATTTTTTTTGATTGATATTTTTTTTTTAATATAATTTTTTTTATATATTTTTTTTAATATAATTACTTTTTTAAATATTTATTTTTGACGTAGATTTTTTTTGATAGATAATTTTTTTTTGTTTTTTGGTTTATATTATTTTTTAAATAAAACTTTAGAGGTAATATATAATATATTTTTTTTTAAGTATATTGAAATAATATATTATAATTTGTTATATTATTTTTTACATATTTTTTTTGATTGATATATTTATTTTTTACGTAGATTTTTTTTGATAGCTAATTTTTTTTTGTTTTTTGAGAGGTAATATATTTTAATTTGTTATATTATTTTATTTTTTTTTGATTGATATTTTTTTTTAAATAATTTTTAGATAATATATTTTAATTTGTTATATTATTTTTTTATATATTTTTTGATTGATATTTTTATTATAATGGTTTTTTATGTATTTATTTTTCACGTAAATTTTATCTTGATATATTTTTTGATAGCAAAATTTTTTTTAATTTTTTGTGTTACATTATTTTTTTAAATATATTTTTTGATTGATATTTTTTTTAAGATAATTTTTAGAAAATATATTTTAATTTGTTATATTTTTTTATATATTTTTTGATTGATATTTTTTAATATAATGGTTTTTTATGTATTTATTTTTCACGTAAATTTTTTCTTGATATATTTTTTGATAGCTAAATTTTTTTTTTATTTGTGTTATTATTATTTATTTAAATATATTTTTTGATTGATATTTTTTTTTAGAGATAAGATATTTTAATTTGTCATAATTTTTTTAAATATATTTTTTGATTGATATTTTTTTTAAATGATTTTTATATAATTTATTTTTAACGTAATTTTTAATCTTTAAATTCCTAATTTTATAGGTAAAAGTGATAAAAGGTATAATCGTAATTTTTGAACTTTTTAAGTTTTTAAAAGCAATTTTTAGTGAAGATGTATTATAGAAAAGTGACAATTGTCATAATTGTTATTTTTGAACATTTTTTAGTTTTTTTAAAGCAAATAGGTAAAAATATGTTTTGTAAAAATGTTAAATTAATATTTCAGTGAAGATGTACTATGGAAAAGTGACAATTGTCATAATCGTTATTTTTGAACATTTTTTACTTTTTTTAAAGTAAATAGGTAAAAATATGTTATGTAAAAATGTTAAATTAATATTTCAGTGAAGATGTACTATGGAAAAGTGACAATTGTCATAATCGTTATTTTTGAACATTTTTTGGTTTTTTTAAAGTAAATAGGTAAAAATATGTTTAGTAAACGTGTTAAATTAATATTTCCGTGAAGATGTACCATGGAAAAGTGACAATTGTCATAATCTTTATTTTTGAACATTTTTTAGTTTTTTTAAAGTAAATAGGTAAAAATATGTTTAGTAAACGTGTTAAATTAATATTTCAGTGAAGATGTACTATGGAAAAGTGACAATTGTCATAGTCGTTATTTTTGAACTTTTTTGATTTTTTTTAAAGTAAATAGTTAAAATTATGTTTTGTAAAAATGTTAAATTAATATTTCAGTGAAGATGTACTATGGAAAAGTGACAATTGTCATAATCGTTATTTTTGAACATTTTTTAGTTTTTTTAAAGTAAATAGGTAAAATTATGTTTTGTAAACATGTTAAATTAATATTTCAGTGAAGATGTACTATGGAAAAGTGACAATTGTCATAATCGTTATTTTTGAACATTTTTAGTTTTTTTAAAGTAAATAGGTAAAAATATGTTTTGTAAAAATGTTAAATTAATATTTCAGTGAAGATGTATTATGTAAAAGTGACAATTGTCATAATAGTTATTTTTGAACATTTTTTAGTTTTTTTAAAGTAAATAGGTAAAAATATGTTTAGTAAACGTGTTAAATTAATATTTCAGTGAAGATGTACTATGGAAAAGTGACAATTGTCATGGTCGTTATTTTTGAACATTTTTTGAGTTTTTTTAAAGTAAATAGGTAAAATTATGTTTTGTAAACATGTTAAATTAATATTTCAGTGAAGATGTACTATGGAAAAGTGACAATTGTCATAATCGTTGTTTTTGAACATTTTTTAGTTTTTTTAAAGTAAATAGGTAAATTATGTTTTGTAAACATGTTAAATTAATATTTCAGTGAAGATGTACTATGGAAAAGTGACAATTGTCATAATCGTTGTTTTTGAACATTTTTTAGTTTTTTTAAAGTAAATAGGTAAAATTATGTTTTGTAAACATGTTAAATTAATATTTCAGTGAAGATGTACTATGGAAAAGTGACAATTGTCATAATCGTTATTTTTGAACATTTTTTAGTTTTTTTAAAGTAAATAGGTAAAAATATGTATAGTAAAAGTGTTAAATTAATATTTCAGTGAAGATGTACTATGGAAAAGTGACAATTGTCATAGTCGTTATTTTTGAACATTTTTTGAGTTTTTTTAAAGTAAATAGTTAAAATTATGTTTTGTAAAAATGTTAAATTAATATTTCAGTGAAGATGTACTATGGAAAAGTGACAATTGTCATAATCGTTATTTTTGAACATTTTTTGAGTTTTTTTAAAGTAAATAGGTAAAATTATGTTTTGTAAACATGTTAAATTAATATTTCAGTGAAGATGTACTATGGAAAAGTGACAATTGTCATAATCGTTATTTTTGAACATTTTTAGTTTTTTTAAAGTAAATAGGTAAAAATATGTTTTGTAAAAATGTTAAATTAATATTTCAGTGAAGATGTATTATGTAAAAGTGACAATTGTCATAATAGTTATTTTTGAACATTTTTTAGTTTTTTTAAAGTAAATAGGTAAAAATATGTTTAGTAAACGTGTTAAATTAATATTTCAGTGAAGATGTACTATGGAAAAGTGACAATTGTCATAATCGTTGTTTTTGAACATTTTTTAGTTTTTTTAAAGTAAATAGGTAAAATTATGTTTTGTAAACATGTTAAATTAATATTTCAGTGAAGATGTACTATGGAAAAGTGACAATTGTCATAATCGTTATTTTTGAACATTTTTTAGTTTTTTTAAAGTAAATAGGTAAAAATATGTATAGTAAACGTGTTAAATTAATATTTCAGTGAAGATGTACTATGGAAATGTGACAATTGTCATAGTCGTTATTTTTGAACTTTTTTGATTTTTTTTAAAGTAAATAGTTAAAATTATGTTTTGTAAAAATGTTAAATTAATATTTCAGTGAAGATGTACTATGGAAAAGTGACAATTGTCATAATCGTTATTTTTGAACATTTTTTAGTTTTTTTAAAGTAAATAGGTAAAATTATGTTTTGTAAACATGTTAAATTAATATTTCAGTGAAGATGTACTATGGAAAAGTGACAATTGTCATAATCGTTATTTTTGAACAAGTTTTTTTAAAGTAAATAGGTAAAAATATGTTTTGTAAAAATGTTAAATTAATATTTCAGTGAAGATGTATTATGTAAAAGTGACAATTGTCATAATAGTTATTTTTGAACATTTTTTAGTTTTTTTAAAGTAAATAGGTAAAAATATGTTTAGTAAACGTGTTAAATTAATATTTCAGTGAAGATGTACTATGGAAAAGTGACAATTGTCATGGTCGTTATTTTTGAACTTTTTTGATTTTTTTTAAAGTAAATAGTTAAAATTATGTTTTGTAAAAATGTTAAATTAATATTTCAATGAAGATGTACTATGGAAAAGTGACAATTGTCATAATCGTTATTTTTGAACATTTTTTAGTTTTTTTAAAGTAAATAGGTAAAAATATGTTTAGTAAACGTGTTAAATTAATATTTCAGTGTAGATGTACTATGGAAAAGTGACAATTGTCATAATCGTTATTTTTGAACATTTTTTAGTTTTTTTTAAGTAAATAGTTAAAATTATGTTTTGTAAAAATGTTAAATTAAAATTTCAGATGAACTTATAATGTTTGACGCATAATCTTAGTAATAAATATAAGGGCTAATAGTATTTAATGTTCGCTATATTGCAACATAGTTAATTGCTAAAATTTATTTCGTTTATAAATATATTCATGAAAATGTAATTAGTGATAGATATACATCTCAATAGCTCTAACTTTTAATTTTAGATAGTTCACTAAAGTGTATAAATATTTAAAATATATTTACTCACAGAATTGAAATAAATAAGTCAAAGATATTATAGTTAGTTGAT